ATATATTTATATATTACTACACATACACACACAGACACACGAGACACACAGACACACAGACACACATATATATATATATATTCACACACACACACACATACACAGACACAGACACAGACACACACACACATATATATATATATATATGTCTGTGTCTGTGTCCGGATAAAGATATATATCCAGGCATACACAAGTGCAGATATACGCACCTCCAGTTCGGCTACTTTTTCATTGTATTCCACCTGAATGGTAGCTTCCAGCTGAGCCATCCGTCCCGCGACTTCTCGTTTTTTATCTTTGCTTATTCCCCGCGGACTCTTACCGAAGGTACTACTGTTAGTACTATATCCCGAACTCATATAGAAATTACTGGCACGATCGGATTCGCTGCTATTTATAGCCTCCACTGGGAGCGAGACAGACGCCGCAGTGGGATTGGTGGATGTACGCGGAGACATGGGCGATGTCTGGGCTGATTTGCAGCTGATATTTGAATCCTGTAGACGGAACGTACGTATCAACACACACACACATATATAGATTAGTTTACGATATACGTATGGATGCATGTCTATATGTATGTATATGTACAGCCCTATATACACGCCAGAAAGCTTATCCGAGTTCGGTCTTCGTTGTCACGCTGCATTCACACACACTTACGAAAAACACAGACACACATTCTGAGCACACAACACGACCACCGAATACAAGCACATCCGAATAGCGCTTTAAGCATATAAGTTCCTCTATGCATCTATGGGCAGACACAAAAACCTGACAGTACCTGTGAGATGAGCCTGGCCTGGTTGTTCCGTTTGTCCCGCATCTTGGCTCGCAATTGTTTCCTAAGTTTGGGCTTTTCTTTGTTCTCCTCGTGGTGTCGCCTTTCCATGTTTTTGATATCTATTGCCAAGCCAAAAGTCCCATAATATTGCGTTAGTAAGGGATATGGCCAAGTAAAATTGAGAGTTTTAAATACTGCACCCTACTAACCTCGGCTGCCCTAATAGCACTTACAATATCGTGTGTGTACATAGAACACTCGAGTGCTTAGGTATCATTTCATAACTCAACACCGAACATTTGTATATGCACCAATTCTATGCGTATAAGTCGTATGCCGGTACATATATGTACTATTTGTGTGCACATACATTCGATCTATGCGTATGAGTCATGTGCCCACACATATATGCACTACTTAAGTGCACATGGTTCGCGGGAGATGTAGTTTCAACCTCTCGCCCTCCCTCAGGCGTGCCTGCTTGGAATGTTCAAGTTTCCGGATGCAACTTCGCCACACAAAACCACCAGGGGTGTGCATATGCATGTCTGTTATACAATCGAATATATATCCCCATCATAGACACACTATACAACAATTGAACATATTTATACATCGCTATAGGTACTGCGTGAGCCGCTAGACCGGGCCGTTTTGTGTGCACGCGTAGAGTACACAAGCGAATTGTAGCGTGTTCCGCACAAGTATCCATAAGCGTGCGCTTGTGTCTGTTTGCTCGGCATACCCATACATATCAAAATACATGACAAATTGGTGTGTACGACTATCCCTTTAAGCGCTTCCATACATGCATGGTACACATACGGATACCTTCCCACACACCCGCGTCTGCAAACATACTGTACATATGTACACACCTCGCTGTTGATGCTGCTTGAGCCATTCGCCCTCCATCTTGTGTGCACGCATAGAGCACTCTAAGCTCAACTCGTTTCTCTCCAGCAGTTGCTTCATACTCAGATTCTGTATCTCGAGCGCACACTTGAGTTCAAACTCACACCGTTCAATCAGATGTTGCTGTTCGATTTGGAGAACCTCTTTCACGTGTGCCACCTGTATTATCGGTAGGTATTTCGTTATCGGTAGGTATTTCGCTATTGGTAGGTATTTTATTATCGGTGGGTATTTCGTTATTGGTAGGTATTTCGTTATTTTATCGTTATATAAAATGTAACCCTATTTTATAGAGTTAGATTTATTATATCGCTATACAGGATGATAATTATCCTTTTTTAGGACGATATTCTATCGTTACATTTTTATAGTTCTATAGGATGATATTTTGTCGTGTTATAAAATGATATTTTAACGTTACGTTCCATAGGGTGATATTTTAACGATATATGGGATGGTACTTTAACGTTCTATAGGATGATATTTTATCGCTATACAGCATGATATTTTAACGTTCTATGGGATGATACTTTAACGTACTATGGAATGATATTATATGGATGTTTTGGATGTTATTATATCGCTATGCGGCATGATATTTAAACGTTATATGGGATGATACTTTAACGTTCTATAGGATGGTATTTTATCGTTATATTGGATGTTATTATATCGCTATACAGCATGATATTTTATCGTTTTATGGGATGATATTTTATCGTTCTATAGGATGTTATGTTTTCGTTATATAAATGTTGTTTTATCGTTATATTGGATGATATTGTATCGTTGTATAAGGCGTTTTCTATCGTTATATTGAATGCGTGTTGCACGACAGTTCTTGTGCAGCTTCAAATTGCGTATTCGCATATGTGCGTCAAAGTGTACAAGTTGTCCAATTTCCAGTATATACGTGAGCAGGTAAGAGTTTATTCTGCACATATGCGTGTCCGTAAGCGTTTTCCCTGTACATGTATGTATGCAAGCGTATTTCTTGTATATGCTTGTGTATGTAGTTCTATGAAACTGATGGCATGCATCGTCATTTGGTGAGAATACATGTTCAAATAGCGTCGTATCCCGTGTGTAATATAACATATCGGTGTATGTCTGCTTACAC